GCAGTTGCTAAATACATTTATTTGCCTGTTACACAGGACACAAAGGAGAGTCATACCAATGGCAATCACAAGAAGGCTTACAAAAAAAAAAATCTTGTCTTTTGCTATTCTACTTTATCTGTCTTTCAGTGCGTTTCTTCTGGACGGGCATAATGGAAAAGTGTCAAGAAGTAAAAAGATCTATAATACAAAACTTCATGTTTACAAAAATGTTAGCTTTATCATTAAAGGCATCATCTGTACTGTAATGGAAGCATTCTGTACTTGCAATTTAAGATTACCTGGAGTTACTGAGCAAGTAGTGGAAATTCCAGGTGAGGTGATTCAGCAAAACAGGGGTCAGAAGAATGCAGCTCTCTCTCCTTCTCTCTCTCTTTCTCTGCTCATGCTAAAAATACCAGGGCATATGGCAGCATATTTCAGCATCTTAACATACTAGGCTCCCTTGAGGACAGAAAAAAAGATGAAACTTGTGCTGTTGAGCCAGAAACAGGATTACAGAACAGTGGTGCCAGACATTCAGAGTGCTGGTAGCAAAGCCATTAGGAGTCAGTGTCTTACTTTGCCTAAAGGTGTTTCAGTGGTATTTAATGGTGCTCCAAGAAATGGAAAGCAAAGCTGGTGAGAATGAGGAGCAGTATAAGAATTTTTTATAAATTAATTGCCATTGCAAGTAGAGGAATTACACATATTGCATTAGGATATCCACTGCTTGTAGATGTACCTTCCACTTTCCCCTTGTGACTGTTAGGGGTCATCCCCTGCTTGAAATAATCAAAATGCATATTATAATTACATGGTTTTCCAATATCCATACACAGCAAGTACAAGATACTTACATGTAAGTACACTGTATTTACCTATATTTTTGCATAGTTTTTAGTGTGTACTTTGTGCCACTTAATAAAAAGCATTACTCATCATTTTTGTTGTTGCTGTTTTTCTTTATTAGACAGCTTGTTCAATTAAAGTTGGAGTAGCTGGGATTTTTGGTATGTTCATCAAAAATTACCAGTTCCTAGGAGTGTAGAGATTAGACATTTGGAGGAGTCTGGGTAAGCGGTGGGGGAAGCTGCAGTGGGAACATGAAAGTTTTAAATCACCTCCTTGATTAAGAAATGCAATATCAGATTTAATGATGCTAATTTAATAAACTTACCTTTAATTCGAATGGAATTCTAAAGGTAAGAAGTCCGTTTTCCTTTTGGTAACACTTTACAATAAGTGGCACTAAATTACACTAGAACTGCTATGTTACAGGGAATTACATGTAACTACACTGTAACTGTTGAAAGAGCTACTGTACATGTGCGTACATGGTAACTTCAGTGCTGTTACAATCATGAATTACATAATTACAGATGATTCTGTCCTTCCTTCTCATTGAAATAGCTATATATATATATTTATATTTATATATATATATATTATACCGCAATGAAAACACACAAGATGTTAACTTTCATGTCTCACTTAGAAAAGTTGGTTTTCTTCACGCGTTCCTTTAGAGAGGGAGTCTCAGTGCAAGATGAACCATCCTTAAGTGATGTGGAAACTTACTGAGATGTTCTAGCTTAAACTCTGAGCCTCAAGTTAAACATCAGGTTCCTTAAACTGTCTCTTGGTTTGTCAGATGACACTACAAGAGTGGGATGATGCACCCCTTGTCTTCTGATGTACCACTTTCTTGTTCAAATCATGAGAATGTTCTTGAAGCATTTTCAAAAAAAACAAACAAAACCAAAAAACTCTACATCAAAAAGTTTAAAAATAATCAGCAATTGACACTGTAAACAGTACACTGGAAGAAACTAGCTACCTGGTCTGGAGAAAACTACTCTGCAAGTGAGTGAGGGATAGGATGTCACATACATTTTAGTGAAGGTGGTTCCCATTCAGAGCCTCCATTTTATACACTTGCTGGGTGCCTCACACCATCATAAAAACATTTTGTTGGTTTTTTTTTTTTTTTTTTTCCAGAGTGGGAAATTTGGGCAAAAGGAAGGGACAACTGGCTTTGAGCCTACTTCAATGTCATTAGTGTTGAGCCATGATTCTGCTCACAGAAAAGAGGGATGCCTCTTTACACCCAATGCAGCAATCTGAACCCGTGAAGAGCAGACAGGTCTGCTAAGTGCTACCCAGGTAGAACGCTCTGTGTGGGGCTTTTCACACCTGCTGTGCAAGCTGCAAGGGACATCACCAGGTGCAAGACAATGGAAGATCAAATGGGTTAAAAATGAGCACATGTGAGGAGTTTTAATTGAAAGCCAATGGAAAAAAAAAACCCAACCAAACAAACCTGTTTTAACAGTACAATTTACATCTGTTTTTTTGCCAAGTTGAAATGCTGTTTCTATGCCACTGGAGAATATGGTTTGAAATGGTTACCACAAGGCCCATCCTGCTTTTGAAGATCCTACCTGACCTTGGCTGGGCAATGGTTCAAGTAACAACCCTACTATTCAAGCGAGCTGGAATTAGGAAGGATGAAGGAAGGCATAAACACCACGCTGGTAGGGAATTCCACTTGAGCAAATAAGGCCCTCATCCAGGGAAGCACTTCATTTTTAAGCATGTGAACAGTGCCTTATACTCCAAGGGAACCTCTCTGATGCCTGAAGTTGACTATGTGCTTAAAAGCTTAGTTGAACTGGGCCCCAGGTCCTGAAATAAAACTTTGATGCTGTACTATAGCTAATGTAACTTACTGCTGTGACAAGAACCCTTATTTTTGGTATTAAACTGAATGACTTCCTTTGCCAGCCTTTTACATGTTTATGTTTTGAAAGACATGAGTATCTTGTAAACCTATACTAGTTTTCAATGTGTCTAGTAGCACCTACCTGGTTCTCTCAAACTACCATATTATATTAACATATTATTGCATTTTTCCACAGATGGGTATGGAGTGAACTGTAAAAACAAGCATGCAATCACATCAATGCAGACTTATTTCTTTAAAATGTCATACTGTATATGATTTATTATGTTAACACTCAACCACATCATATTATTTATGTCTGTATATTTTGAAAAAAAGTGCTGCTTTGATTGACGTCACCCTTTTTTCTTAGAAATTAACAAGATAAATGCTTCAACAAAAACAATTAAAATACTCTAATATTGTCCTTAAAAGGTTTATATTCTTCTGATAAATAATCTGTCACAGCACCTTTATCTTCCATTTTACCATACCACATGATGTCGTGTTCCAAACTCTCCCTTCCCCACACAAAAATAAAATCCCAGGAGAAAGTCCTTTACAGCAGACCATCATGCTTTTATGCTTCACAAATACATCAACCAGAGAGAAATACTTCTTTTTGTCAAAGGTGCAAAACACAGGAGCAAAGCGAGCTCCAACTAGACTAGCTTGCGTTCTCCAGTGTAGAATCATTTCCAAGACCTGTTATGGCAACCTTTTCTTTTCATTGGAAGAGGAAATAAGCCGATGGGCTTACAGTGTTTTGTTGTCATATTTAAGAGCATGTGATTTTTCAGCTGTCAATTACACAAAAAAATTTCAGAAATAATCCAAACAGAGACCTTCACTGTGGAGCTAAAAGCATGGCAGGAATTCTCTATCATTCACGGTGACATAAGTTTGTACCTCACAAAATGCATAGACAGGAATTTAATATAAAGAATTAGTCCATTTACTGTATACACAAAACATATATCTTTTGTTTTAACACTTCTATTTTTTTCTTTTTTTTTTNGTGTTTTTGTTTTTGTTTTTTTTTTTTTTGGCAAACCAACATAGAGAAGCAGCTCTGGAACTGCCAAATTAAAAACTGAGAATTTTAGCAACTCAATAGTACTTTTTAAGGATAATAATCAAATGTGGTTGTAATTTAAAACCTGAGGCTGTGCACTGGTTGTTAGCTTAAAACTACCTTTCCATATAACATTGTGCTTCCATTGTATAACAAAGAAAAAATTAACAAGAACTAGAAAAGTTTGCTGCTGAACAGTGCTAGGACATACAGACAAAAAAATACTAACACATGTTATTTACTCAGAATATTCATTTTGAGTCATATCTAAAGGGATATAATGGACATTAGAAAATGCTTACTTGTGACTGACTTAGCTACTGCCAAAAAAGTTGAATATGTATCAAGTAATGTTTAATTGAATTTATTATATGCACTATATACAGACACTAAAATGCCTTGCAATTGTGCCCCATGAACACATCAAATTTGAGTAGGCAGGTGAATTCATGTTTAGCAAATAAATTATAAAAACATAAATTACTCAGAAAGTTCTCTAATCTTTGTGATCCCAAAAGCCAGTAAAAGGGCAGGAAAATTGTTTCAAAAGAAGCTCTATTACCTAAATTTGCAGAATCTGTATAGCTATTCAGCATGTTATCACCACTGAAACATGGCACTGTTGTCAAGGTACCATTTAAATCATAACAAAACAAAGCAAAACAAAACAAGAAATTCATTGGACTGGTCTTTTTTTCCCATAAAATCCAAACATACAGGAAACTATGCTAAACAGATTTCAATCTGTGTTTCCAAGGGCATATACTTCAAAAACAAGTTGATTTTTGAATAATAGATAGACAGGTATAAAATATTCTTTGTAAACATCTAATCTTAGACTTAACATTTGCTGTAAGTGAATTAGGACCTTACCTAATAGTACTTGTTATGAATTTTGTTCTATGACATACTAGTAGGGACATGATAAAAGAAAACTGAAAAAGAAAGCTGTATAACACTTAAATATGTAGAAAACTTGGGTTAAGATGATGATTAACATTGTTAAGGCTGTATATTCAAGCACTGTATGTTAAGAGAGCAGTGGACATGGTTTTTAGGCAATAAGAAATGTCCTGTTTTACGCATGATACTGTAATTACAGAATGATGATGTCAACAACTGATTGTTGGTGTAAACTGGCTACTTATAGCAGGTATGGGAGTTAATAAAGATAGCAGAAGATGGCAGAAATGAATTCTGAGAAATGATAGCCAGTTTTCTCCAGCAGTCAGCCTGATAAGAAAAAACTCCAAGATTCTAGCTCTGCATCTAAATGAAATACTCTTTTTTCTCCTCTGCATTGACTTGGCTGCCTTCTGCATTGATAATGGCTGTGTCGGCATCAGGTGCATCTTCAGCTCCTTTTGCTTCATTTGTTAAATATGTTCCTGTAGGAATCAGTACAAGACAAAAGAAACAAAAAAAAAAGGGAGAAAGATTAGGTTTTTTTTTTTTTTTTTTACACTGCATTATAGGAAGTGCATTTCAAGCAATGTACTCCAATTTTTTAATGAATGAAAAATATTCTTACACAGTTTTTAGTATACATCATAAAGGTGTCCTCAACTTCGTAATTTGCTTAAGAAATATTTACACTGATACTTACACTGGTAAAGGCACATATACAAACTCTAGTATATCCACAACAAATTAAGGAAATATTTTAATAAAGCTCCACTTTATCTAACTGCAGTAATACACAATATATTCTTCAATTACAGAATAAGTGATAAAATCTTGGTTATTTCATGAAATAGCTATCCATCAAAAACAAAGCAACTTTGAAGACTTAGATATTCATAAATATGCTTGCCTTTTCTTTTTCTTTTTTTTTTAATGGCCACTGATCATTTGTAATCCTGTTTTTTCTTGATCATATCTAGGCTTTCATTTTACAGAATTGTATCATTAAATTACATCAAAAATTACAAAATTGAGGCAGTTTTATTAACTAAACCAACTCATATTATACTATCACAGCTATTTTTATGCTCTGGACATGAATGAAAAAAGAAATGTGTACAATAGTTGAATTTCCCTTTGTGAAAAGCATTATTTATGCTGGCATAAGATGTTCAACTGCTCATTCAGGAAAGTAAAACAAAAGAGACACACTTTCACTGGCTCATTAAAAAAAAAATTCTGATTTTCTCCCATGTAGTCCAATCAAATTGAAAAGCTGTTTTTTATCAATTTATATTTGCTAGGTATATGATTATCCTATCTAAAAAAAAGGTTACTGAATTAATACCAACAGTCATCCTCTCTTTTTTTTGAGGAGTGTGGAAAGGGATTCAAGGGAGTTTTAGCAAGAAGCCTCCAAGCTGTACAGAGGTTAAATCTCAAGGCATGATTTTGGAACTAACTAGGTCAAAATCAAACCACAGAGAAGTCAGAAGTCAGTGTCACTCCATTCCTGTTATCTTTAGTGGCAGAGGGGGACTGAAAATGAAGGGACCAGAATTATTAAGGTAAAACCACAGAATAAAGTAAAGCTAGCCCCAGGAATTAACCCCTTATTCCAGCAGGATCATTGATAAACTGATTTGAAAACTCACCACTGGATTCTGTATAATATTATCTTTTAAACATATACTTAAAATATTAGCATAATCCATTAAAATGGAAAATCTTATTTACTCAACACATATATATTCTGCTGAACGGATAGGCTAGTTAAAACTATGAGAGCATGATGAGAACGTGTAATCAAGTATCAGGAGTTAAGATCCAAACCCAAGGGGCAATCTTACCCCTTGGTCTCTCTAAATCACTGACTTATAAGATGACCTTGGGCATGCACTAACTCCATGTCCTTTGCCTTAGCCAGCCTACTGGAAAACATTAAAATTCACAGGGACCGCACTTGCAACTGGACTGAGAACTACTTTTTGTTCAAATCACTTAGCAGAGGGGGGAAGGTGAAAGGGAAAGGCACTTCCAGGTGAAATCATGCCTTGCTTCCAACAGTGACTGAACTTCCACTAAAAGTGTCCTACCTTTATGTCTTGCCAGGTATCGACCAAGGAGAATTATAGAACATAGTGTTACAAAGACAACTACAGCCACTATTCCTCCTATAAGAGCGTGGTCAGGTCCAGTCTGTCCAGCCAAAGCATTTGGATCTAGAGGGAGAGACAAAAAAGCAAAAATGGTCCTACACAGAGAAAAAAAAAATGACAGGGAAATTCATAATACCAAGTTTTATACTGATCGTCCTGAAAATAGGGCATTTCCCTCTTTAATATTCAGCATGGTTATTCCCACTTTTACTCCCAGTATCTTATCAACGACACAGTGCTGCTTGTATTCCCAGATTGTTAAAACCCTGAGGACATCACAGTTATGAAAAACATTACCTTATTCTTCTTTGGCAGAGGTTAGTAAATGGAAAAGGTTTCTAGCTTTGTCCTAGCCATTTTAGAACTGAAAACCTGGCCATAGCTATTTACAGAAGGAAAAACAAGGAAGTGAGAATTGGGGATCAGATAGCATCAGCAGAATACTGTCTGCAAAATATATAATTTATAGAATTGATTCTCAGGGAAACCCTTATATGTTCTCTTCCTCTCATTCCTACCCTTTTGCACCAGAACTAGAAAGGCAGATAATGTGCAGCTGTGCCAAGTTCCTCTGCACGTGGCTGAGTCTGCATGGATTTGGTCAGATAAAGGTATCAGGTACCCGGAACTCATCATTCAGACTCAAACATCAGTTTGTGCATGTACTACAAAGGCTCAATTAACACCCAGTGTTAGCAAGCTGTAACAGATATCACAGAATCACAGTGTCAGCCGGGATGGAAAAGACCTTTGAGATCATCAAGCCCAACCAATGAAGTAACATCATCTTATCAAACAGTCCATGGCACTGACTGCCACATCTCATCTCTTAAACACCTCCAGGGATGGTGACTCCACTGCCTCCCTGCCAGCCCATCCCAATGCTCAATCATTCTTTCTGTGAAAATCTTCTTCCCAATGTCCAGCTTAAGCCTCCTCTGGCACAGCTTGCACTTGGGTGTTGTTAAACCTCATGCTGTTGTATTCAGCCCATGGATCCAGCCTGTCCAGGTCCCTCTGCAGAGCCCTCCTACCCTCCAACAGATCAACACTCCCCCACAACTTTGTGTCCTCTGCACATTTGCTAATGGCAGAGTGAATCAGCAGGTTCCTTTTTGCAGCTCTGTGCAGAGCACTGGGAATGCTGTCAGATTCAAGTGTTCTGTGCTGGTCATTTGCCTGCTCTGCTGCCCAATGCGTCACAAAAGTTGCAAAGGGACAATCATGGGAAATGGCACTACTTTGGGGTGAGTAATTCTTCAGAGCTTTTAACAGTGAACCACTAACCTGTGACTGTTGACTCAACAGATAAATGCAGAAGAAGGTAAAATTTTAATCTGAGGATCATGACATGGTTCCTATTATAATGAAAATGCCTCTGCTATCAAGTAATAGTAATTCTCTGAAGATGTTATTAGCATGTACTGTATGCTGCAATCATTCCACTCTCACTGCTTCAAGGGCATTCCCTTTGTAGGAGCTGTTTATATTCTTCAAATAGTTTGCAAACAACTTCTTTGCTTTGCAAAAGGGAAAGGCAGGAAAAATATTTACACAGAAAAGAGGGCAAGTCTGTGAAGATGATAGAAAGGCCTCTGATAATGCTGAGGAGGTGTGACTCCTTAATACCATGATTACATTCTGCTGACCAGGATTGCTGTATGGCTGTAAAATGTATGGATATATCTGGTATGGGAGTCTCATGAGGTGTAATTAGGCCAAGTGCTGGTGCTGCACCCAGGTCAGGGCAAATCCTGCTCTCAGTCCAGGCTGGGGGATCAACAGATCCATAACAGTGTGGCTGAGAAGGACTTGGGGGTGCTGGTGGGTGGACAGGAGCTGGCCTTGTGCTCTTGCAGCCCAAAAAGCCAAATGTGTCCTGGGCTGCATCCAAACACTGTGGGCAGCAGTCTGGGGAGGGGATTCTCTCCCACTGAGCCACTCTTCTGAGATCCCATCTGTAGAACTGCATCCGCTTCTGAGGCTTCCAGCACAGGAAGGACTTGGACCTGTTGGAGTGAAACCAGAGGAGGCACCAAGTTGATGTGAGGGATGGGGCACCTCTCCTATGAGGAGAGGCTCAGAGAATTGGAATTTTTCAGGCTGGAGAAGGCATGGCTTTCAGGTGACCTAATCGTGGCCTTCCAGTACCTGAAAGGAGCCTGCAAGAAAGATGGAGAGACTATTTACAAGGGTATGTAATGATAGGACAAGAGGAAAGAGCTTCAAACTAAGAGTAGGTTTAGAGTAGATTTTAGGAAGAAATTTTTCACTCTGGGGGCAGTGGGGTGCTGGCACAGAGAAGGAGTGGCTGTCCCATCCCTGGAAGTGTTCAAGACCAGGATGGATGGAGCTCTGAGCAACCTGGACTAGTAGAAGGCGTCCCTGCCCATGGAAGTGGATGATCTTTAGGGTCCCTTCCAATTCAAGCCATTCTATGATTCCAAGATCTACAAATGCACGTGTATATAACTACAATGTTCCACAGATGAAAAAGAAGACTTTTCCCTTTCTTTTGCAAACTGTGAAGCATTCTGCAGCTACATTTTCAGGCTTCCTGGAGCACAGAGTGGTGTGGCCACTGCTACAGATTCAGTTCTGCTCTTAACAATCACTGGACTCATCAGGCAGGACTTTGTCACTTACAGCTGGCTCCCTGAGCTCCCACACCTTTCTCTTCTGGCTGCCACAAGGACTTTGGGGAAGCTGGTCACAGCACTTCTGTGGACATGATGGCAAATAATAGGTATTTGGCCTCAATAAAGCTAGAAACACCTTATAAAGTCAGCTCTCCTGCATCCTCTTCCACCTCCACATGGCATGGTGGTGGCACCACGCTGAGTACACATTTTGGTCATTAATGGACCCCAAATCCTGTGCACCAGGAGACTCACAGGGGAAAGCAAGAGTGCTGAAGCATGGCCTTCCCAAAGCAACAGCTTGGAGCACTCAGCCACTCTCTCCCTTGCCTTGCAGGGGCTTTGTTTTCTGAACAGAGCAAGGAGGAGGAGCCTGCTCACTTGAGAGGATGGAAGGTGACAGCCTGCTGCAGGAATGTCAGCCTGCTTGAGCCATCTAGAAATTTCCTCCTTCTGTGGTGCCTGTGCCAAATGTTGAGTAAAGCTCCTCCCTGCAGCAAAAAAGCAGGACCCATTTGGACTCTGAGGACCACCCGTGTGCCCAGGCCCTGTGTGTGACCTGCTGGAGATGCTCTTTGGCAGCACTGGGACAGGAACAGCATGAACATGTTTTCCCACTGAAAACGGGCTCCTGCTGGTAACACTGGAGAATGAAAGGAGATCTTTTAAGGGATAATACACTTCCTGATGCAGAGCATAATCCAAAGCAGGGTTAGCACAGAACTTTATCTACAGGCATTTTTGCAAAGCTGATTGAAGTGCACAGCCTTAGCTCAATACCCAGACTTACAACGCGTGTCCTCTGTGAGCTTTAATAAACATTACAGATAAAAATCCTCCCAATACACTGAGCTAAACACGTCTCTGTGTTTTTATCCTCAGGTGATTTCCAACATAGAGTGACTCACTCCTCCTCTGACATACCTGATGTGACTACACAAAGTGACCCAAAGCCAACCTAAATACAAGGTTTCCACCTATTAGTGTGGATTAATGACATTCTGATACTGCTATAGGCTGATTTTTTTAACATTAAAATTAATGTAGGTATTCATTGGACTGCAAAAGTAACATCGTATTTTTTGATCTAATTCCAACCTTGATATCAAAGCCAGACTAGAGTGGTTGGTATTGCTAGAGAAGTTGGTCCAGAAAAAACCCAAAAACTTATACATAACCTATTACCAGTGAACAATTCCTTTGTTAAAAAGGATAAAGGGAAGGAAGTAGAGAAAGGAAAAGATGGAAGTGAAGGAAATAAAGAAAGATTCTTAAAAGTGGCCAACATTTTCTTGAGAAACAAGCCTTTTTCCATCTCAAAATGAAAAATCTGTACAACATAAACAATATTCTGAACAGGAAGTATACCTCATGAATAGTCTCCTCATAGAAAAATAATGCTAGCATTAAATATAAATATTCTCTACATTATACATAGAGAGTAATGCACTATTCTTTTGCCTTTCATGAAATGACCTAAGCCTCATGAGTGAATTATAGATCTGGGGCTTTCTATCACAGTATAAATAATTACTGTTTCAAAATGTGCCCAAGCAGTATCTGAAAGATAGAAATACAGGGATTTGGGAACTACTTTTTTTTGTATTTTAGGTATTTATACAGTCAACATGAGTAATCATTCAGGTGTTCTGGGCACAAGTGTTAGCAACTGCCATTAAAGTTCCTGAAACCACTGATCACTCCACATTTTACTTTCCAAAAAGCAGAATAATATCCAGATTATTTTTAGATTTGTGTTTTAAGTTTCACGGACTTTACCAAGTAAATTCTACACTGCCATGCACACAACTCCAGCAAATGAAATCTTAGGTATGCAACTGTACAATAAATACTTATAATTCAGTTGTTTCCATAAGAAAAAAAAAAAAAGTAAAAAAATTAGATTACACTGTTACTCTTCTAGTACATATTGTTTTTTTCTGCAAGAGCACAGGCAGCTACAGTAGTCATGGCCTGAAACAGTGGAATTAAAATTTTGCAACCAGACTAGATCTTCAGAGATCAGTTCTTTCTTCTGTTTATTTCATTCTTAGAAGAAACTAAGAAAATCTTAAAAAAACATAGTGACAAAAGCCCTCATAATTCTCTTTTATTTGCTCTTTTTTTTCCCTAAATTGAGAGAGCCTCTTCAAAATACTGATTGTCAATGCTATGAAAATATACCCATTTTCAACTTCTGGCATTTCTCTGTTACTGTTTCACAAACTGTGAATACACTTAAATGAGGTAACACACACTTAAATTAAATAACTAAATAAATTAAATGACTAAGGGAGGAAAAAAAGGCCTCATTTGTTAAGAGATGAAACACATCAGATAAACTTTAGATGGAATAAATAAGTTGATATGCGCTTTTTATGACCTGCTGATAAAGTTTCAGTGTAAAATATTTTAATATGAATT